ATCAGCGGTGTGTCCGTAGATGGCTGATGAGACCGATGTTAGCACGGAATGTTCTGCCACATACTGAACATAGAAATGTGGACACTATTGCTTCAGCATTTGCAGCTCTGGCTTTACGGAGTGCTCGCTTCTCTTGTGCCAAGATTGTCCTTCTGTGTTCATATGTCTGGCAACCCTGGTAAACCAGGGTACGCCATGTTGGTCGATCATGCGCCAAAAATTCCCAAGAGATGGTGTCGATATCCAGGGATTTGAGAGATGCTTTCAGCGTGTCTTTGTATCACTTCTTTTGTCCCCCGTGCGATCGCTTTCCTTGAGACAGCTCACCATAGAAGAGCTGTTTAGGGATGCGATGGTCTGGCATCCTTACGTGGCCTGCCCAGCGCATCTGGGCTTTCATCAACAGAGTGTAAACTGATGATAGGCCTGCTCTGGAGAGGACATCTGTATCTGGTATCTTATCCTGCCACCAGATCCTCAGAATTCTACGAAGGCAAGTCATGTGGAAGTAATTCAGTTGCCTGACGTGCCTCCTGTACACTGTCCAGGTCTCACTAGCATACATTAGGGTAGTTAGCACTGCTGCCTGGTAAACTTTAAGCTTAGTAGCAAGGCTTATTCCATGGTGGTCCCACACATTAGTCTACAGTCTGCCAAATGCAGAACTTGCCTTGGCAATTCTACAGTTGACCTCGATGTCAATTGTCACTGCACGGGAGAGGGTACTACCAAGATACGTAAATTGGTCCACTGCTTGCAGCTTTTGCCCCTTCACTGTGATGGTAGGCTCTTGGTATTGGGCTTTTGGAACTGGCTGGTACATCACTTCGGTTTTTTTTGTGTTGATAAAGAGGCCAAAGTTGTCACAAGCGACTGCGAATTTGTCCATGCTGGCTTGCATTTCCTGCTCCGATCCTGCATTAAGGGCACAGTCATCAGCAAAGAGAAGATCTCGTAGCACAGTCTCCTTTACCTTGGTGACAGCCTGGAGTCTTCGCAGGTTGAACAATTTCCCATCGGTTCTGTACCTCAGATTGA